TCCCTGCCCGCCCGCAGCGGCTGCCCGGGCGCACGTACCTGCTCGCTCCGTGCCGGGCTGCACCGCGTCGGCCGCTGGGGGGCTCCGAGGAGGAAGGGACAGGGCAGGGTGGGAGCGGGGATCCTGGAGCGCCGCCGTTCTAGCTCCGCCCGTGGCGGGCGAGGGCTCCCGGAGAGTTAGCGTGGGGAGGGAGAGGGAGGTGGTTCTAGTGACCGGCCCCTGCCGTCTCTAGGGCCACCTCTGTCTAGCCCGCAAGCGCTGGCGAGGGAAACCCGAGGCTAGGAGCCCGAGGCGCTGGGCGCAGGGGAGGGGCGGGGCGATGGAGAGACAGAGGAGAAGACCCCGCCCCCGCCACTGGGGAGACCCCGCTGCACCCAGGGATGCCTTTCCCACCCCAGGTAAAACCCAGAATCCTCTTCAAGGCCTGCAAGTCGGGCATCTCATCACTCCATGAGACTCGATGGCTCACGGGCGCCACGTGAAGGCTGAAACGAAGCCTCTGCCCACCTCAGTTTCTGATGGGTGACTTCCTGGGGTATTGTCCATGACCACGCACACCTTTACCCTCCAAAGCCACCTACAAGGCCCCTTCGCGGACAGCCTGTCTGACTTACACACACACACACACACACACACACACACACACACACACTCACCCTGAGGGATTCCTGCATTTAGCCACTCCTTTGACCTGGATCGCCCCTGTGCACAGGTTTCTGTTTTAAGGGGAACTTTTTTCGCTTGGGAGCCCAGGCCAAGCCCAGAAAGAGGACTTATGGTAAGGAAGGTAAGGTTATGATTTCTGGGAAGACTTGATGGCTAGCTCACATAAGTCTTATCATCTCTCTGAACATCAGTGTCCACCTTTGTCCAAGGGAATCATGATCATATAACTAGGAATCCACCTGTGTGATCAGATGCGGTCCAGAAGATAAGAGAAGGTGAGAAAACCCTGCCCTGACTCCTTAGCTGTCTCACTGGCAAAGGCTCATGGGTCCTCCTCCAAAGGCAGTTAGTCCTCACCCACCAGGAGTGCAGTTTGTCTTGGAAGTCTTGTGGGCCAGCCTTGCCAGGTCCTGTGCTGAGCCACCAGAGCTGAACAGGCCTGTCTCCCCCATCATTCCAGAGGCCTGGGCCTCTTAGGATTTCCACGGGGAAGCTGGCCCTGGCACCAGGTCCTGTGCAGTCCCATTTCCACCACCCACAGGTAGATGACATCGTGCAAAGGTCCCTCTTAAAGCTCAAGCTTTCCGTCCTGTAAACGGACTCAGGACTTATGGAATGCCACGAGATCCCAACCATTAGCGTGGCCATAATCCCTCCCCTGTCCTGTGCTGTCCTGCTCACAGCGTGTCCTCAGAGGTCACTCTGCACCCTCACTTCACTCAAGTCTTTGCTCACATGTCACCTCAAGGACACCTGCCCAGGGCATCCTAAAAAGAGTAGTGTGGCGCATGCCTTTAATCCCAGTACCCAGGAGGCAGAGGCAGGTGGGTCTCTGCTATTGTGGCCAGCTTGGTCTACAGAGGGAGTTGCAAGACAGCCATGTCTACACAGAGAAACACTGTCTCCAAAAACAAAAAACAACCAAACAAACAAAGAGCATAGGAGAGGCGTTGTCTGCTTCTCTCCCTGATGTGTCCCCAGAGACTTTCAAAGGAGCCAACACCTAGGAGGCTCTTGATAAATTCTCTTTGAATAAAGATTGAGACATGCACGACTTCTCAATTTTAGAATCCCTGTTGTATACTAGCAACTAGGCAGAGCCCATCCCTGTCTTTAAGAAATTCCTGTGGTATTCCAGAAGAAAGGGATACCCACAGGTCACACTGAGTAAGGATTGCCGAGCAGCTGAGTAAGGATTGCCGAGCAGATACAATGTGCTCTATGTGTCTCACACAGGATGCTGGCCCCGTCTTGGGGATGGAGCAGTTTTCCAGCAGAAGAGAGGACTAAGCCAAGATGGGCAGGTTATAGATGGCAACTGGATAAAGAGCAGGGAGGAGAGATTCATCAGAGAACTAGTATGGGCAGACACCCTAGAGTGGGTGAAAGGGAGGGAAGGGAGTGTGGGGAGGAAGGGGCGTGGCCACAGTGGGAGACCCAGGTAGGAACAGGGTAGGAGATGGGGCTGTGCTGGACAAGAGCCAGGACTCAGCAAAGCCTTCGAGGCCAAAAAAAAAAAAAAAAAAAAAAAAAAAAAAAAAATGTTCTTTGTTCTCAGAACAGTGGGGAACCACGTGGAAGAGACTAGACAGAAAGCTAGCCACCATGCTGTTCCCGTTTTACATGTGAATTTGACTTTTGGTTACTTGTTAAACTCAGACTTTTTTCGATGTTTTTGTTTTCGTTTTGTTTTGTTTTGTTTTCGGAAATAGAGACATATATGACAAGTTACTGAACAACACTGTTTAGATAAATATGACTCCTGGGGAGGGAGCAAGCATGAATGAGAGTTGGAGATGCTAATATGAACTCACGTTCAGCTTAATTTAGAGGTGAGTGATTACATATACAAATGTTTACAGAGTAGTCCTAAGCACTTCTGGACCATGGGTTCCCATGTAGACATGGCAAAGTCCAGGAACCAAACCACACACAACCAGTTCCAAAAATGGCACAGAAAAGGCATCAAGAAACCCTGGTCACAAAGATACAAATTTCTTAAAGAGGTCAACTCCAAATTCCTGAGGAACATGCACTTTGCCAAGAAGCACAAGAAAGGCCTGAAGAAGAGGCAGGCAGGCGATGCAAAGGCAATAAGCTCACATGCAGAGGCTATCAAGGCCCTTGGGAAGCCTAAGGCAACCGGTTAAGCCCAAGATGCCAAAGTCCCAACTCCAAACTCAACTGTCTTGCTTTCATCACTTCCCCCAAGCCTGGGAAGCAGATTCCAGGCTACATGGCCAAGGGTTGCCGGCTGTGCCATCCATAGCCCAAGCTCAGACCAAGGCTGAGGCTGCAGCTCTAACTCAGACCCAGGCTTCAGCTCCAGTTCAGGCTCTCAAAGGTGCGAAGGCTTCTCTCTGCTAATGTGAAGACAGATGGACTGGTGGGACACTCCCACGCACTATTTGCAGGTGGTCAGTGCCAATGCTGTTTTCACAAATAAACTTGAGGTGAGATCTGCTTTAAAATATTTACAAAAGCATGCACATATGCCTGGGTTCAAACACATATGTATTTCTGTGCTAGAAACAATCGTACTCCATAGCGAAGAGCTCACCAGTGTAGAGACCTTGGTGTCTTGTGTGTGCATGCTTGCGTGCGTGTGTGCGTGCGTGCATGTGTGTATGTGTGTACCTACAGGAGTCAATTCTCTTCTTCCACCATGTGGACCCCTAGCATCTAATTCAGGTTATCAGGTTTGGCAGCAAACACCTTACTAACTAAGCCTGAGATCTTGGTTTCTAATACCATTCAATAAAAGAAGCCAGGGCTCCTCGGAGCAGTGAGGCAGAAAATAAACAAGATGAACCAGAAAAATAAAGAAATACTATGCATAGGGCGGAGAGATGGCTCAGCAGTTAAGAGCATTGGATGCTTCCAGAGGACCCAGTTTTGATTCCCAGTACCCACGTGGCAGCCAACAAATAGCCATCTATAACTTCAGTTCCCTGGGATTCCGGATATGCTTCTGGCTTCCATAGGAACCAAGCATGCATATGGTACATGGACATGCATGCAGGTAAGACACCCATACACATAAATAAAGATAAATAAATCCTTTAAAATGTTTAATCAAGAAGAAAGAAATTGACTAGGGGTGATTGCACATGCCTTTAATCCCAGCACTCAGGAGGGAGAAACAGATATATCTCTGAGTTTGAGACCAGCTTGGTCTACAGATTAAGTTCTCAGACAGCCAGGGCTACACATAGAAACCTTGTCTTAACACTCCCACAAAAAGAAAAGGAAAAAACAACTACACACACATACACACAATCACACACACTGATGTGATCATACCGAAAGACACAGGTCAACTTAAAGTGTTCCCAGACAATGCTGGAGGAAAAAATTAAGCAACAAAATAATATAGTAATACCACGTTGTAGCTGAAAGTATGACATAAATATCCCCAATTCCGTACTGATATAAACAGCTGAATGAATTAATGAAAAGACAAACCACCACACAGTATTTCAGCTGGGTGCCCCACAGTCCTCAAAGCATGGAGCATAATGCCCATCCTGAGGTGCTGACTGCATCTGATAGTGGCCTTTCTAAGAGTGTGTATGGAGATGGGAGTTAACTAAGTACCTGAGAAACTGGTGCACTTACTCCGGCCAGATGACCATATCCACATTAGCGGTCAGGTTATGGAACCAGTGTGCACCGTTGTGATGAGGCCAAGCAAAAGATACTTTAGCTGGACATGCTGGTGCACACCTGTAGTGTAGTACTCAGAGGACTGAGTCAGGAGGATTGCTATGAGGTTAAGGTTTGCCTCAGGTATTTTGATAGACCATCTTTAAAAGATGGCAAGGCTGGAGTGATGGCTCAATGGATAAGAGTGTTTTCTACTCTTCCAGAGGACCCAGGTTGGGTTCCCATCACTCACATGGTGGCCACAGCTGATTATAACCCCAGTTCCAGAGGGCTCAGATGTCCCCTTCTGTTTTCCTCAGGCACCAAACACGGCATGTACACAGTACATATACCCACGTGCAGGCAAAACACTTAGGCACACAAATATTTGAAAAAAAAGAACCTCATCACAATTAACATTTTTATATTTTTAGTTGTGAGCCTAGCCTTTAATGGCTGAGCCATCCCTCCAGGCCCACAATTAACATTTTAAATTGTCCTTTTACCTCTGTGGCCTCACAACTTACAACCTCAATCTAATCATGAGATCACAAGAATCCCAAGCCATGACTAAGGGACAGGCTATGAAATACTTGAGCAATACCCCTCAAAACTGTGAAAGTTGCCCCAAACAAGGGCAATCTGAGAAACTTCCACAGTCCAGAGGAGCTTAAGGGGGAAGTAGTAACTATGTGCATGTGTTCCGGGGTTGAAATGGGTTAGCATCAGAACTGGGAGGTTGGAGAAAGTATGGACTTTAAAACGCTAACATCTCATGTTGATCCTTAAACAGAAACACACACAAAACTCTAATTTAATGACACTTTGGGTGAGATACATGAGAACTCTGTACTATCTACCTCCCCTTTTTATAAATCTAAAAGAGTCAAAGTTGTTGCCAGGCATGGGCGCACACAGCTATAA